GCTCAACACCATACTCCGTGTTGGTATAGCTTGGCCCATTGTTTGGTACAAATCTCCTTCTCAATTGCCCCTTAATCCCATCTGAGTTGAACGTGATTGAGATTAGCCTTTCTAGCCAAGCTGTTAATTCTGGCCGGTTTCAGGGACTTGTGCCCGATGTCCTGTCACCCATCAATTAACTGTACTGACAACCCATCAAGTTAGTGACACATGGCGTTCCCTTAGAGGTTCTGTGCAACTCCACAGCTGCCCCTACTATCTCCGAAATTTGAAAGGTTGGCGCCCTTTGGGTTTTCACCCATAAATAGGCGATATATACACCCCTTCGTCCACTCCACTATTCATCTTATTCTCCAAGAAAAACCCTAGCCTACTCAGAGCTTGTATCGTCATCGCCGTCATTGTCGTCGTCGTTTTGTGTGTTCTAGGCCACTCTTCTTGAACCAATCGATTCGTCAACCACTGCCGAAGCCCTTTTCCCGATTGGATCGAAGCTCTAAGCCATTCCCAGTGAGTTTTTTCAATCTTTTCATTTCATCTCTTCTGTGTTCTTCTAGTTTTTCCTTTTTATTCTTATTTCTAAGCTATTAAGCCTCTATCAACACCTTCTTTAGTGTGAAACTAGTAAACATTTGTAGAAATTAGGCAAAACCGAAACCAAAAACATACAAGTGGCCTCTGTGCCCCTTATTCCTCTTTGTTTCCGTATGTGACTTCAGAATTTAGGATGAACAGTATGAATTCTGGGAAAAACCGAGCACGAGTTCAGTTTTTAATCAAAAAAATGATCAAACTGGGCAAAAACCTTGTTTGTGCTCCTTAAAATTGGTTAGAATCGCGCTAGATGAGACGTAGGGGTGCTGGACTAAGGCCGAGATAAAACACCTAGGCTTTAGGCCCCACAATCGGCCTAACACCCAACCCTAGGCTCTATGGCCGAGCAAAGAATAGCTTTAATTTTGATAGTCGAGAAAAAACTCCTGTCGTGCTAGCCATGCACTTACTTTTTTAACAATGCAGAACGAACTAGGATCGACCAGACACACCTCAACATTGCAAACTGGTGACGCTCCCAGATCGAGCAACCATCTGGCCGAGCAATAAATTAGTTTTAGTGGTCAAAATAAAACCGGGATAAATGGGCAAGTACTTATTTATGGTCAGTTTGCATGGGGCCATAGCTAAGTTCCGCAAGGAGTTCAGCATCCCTGATGACGTCCCAATTGAGCTAGCCATGAAAGAAGAGACACCTTGGGGCAAATTGGATTTTTCCCCTTCACCGTGGTATCAATAGTGGAAGGAGGGCTCTGTTTTCCCGTGCAACCCCTTGTTTGCAAATTTTTGAGGCAAACCAAGTTATATCCCACGCAAGTATCAAAATAATACATACAAGATAATTAATGGTGTGGCCGCGCTAAACCATATCCTCAGTTTAAATCTTGGCCTAGCCGAGATATTTCATCTATACACACTTAGTAAAAATAAGGGCGCCTTTGACTGGTACCTCAAGGTCAGGAAGAGCCGAGCAAAACTAGTAGAAAGCACACTGCACAAAGAATTGAACGATGATGACTTTCTATGGGTGTCTGCCATTTACGAGGATTCCGAGAAGCCCATACCGTGCTGGTACATAAATTTGATGGGTCGTTGAACACACCAAAAATAAATCACTAAATTATATTAAATTCTATCAGAATAATGGCAAGCCTAGGTATCGATCCGTAGGGACAAATTTGAAATTAGATTAATTCAATCGCAAAATTCCTAAATTAATTTTGATTAAAAAGATAAGATTGATTTTATAACTGAACAGCAATTAAAGAAACTGAGGAATTAGACTGACAACTAAAATTAGGGTTTGAGATATTAATTTTCGGGAAAAATCCTAAGATAGAGAATTCACCACTAACCACATGAATGAGATTTAATATTGGCCACCAATTGCGATTCGGTTTGAACTATCCAATATTTCACTACTACAAGTTTGAAATATTGATCAAGAGGGTTGTTGCATTCAATGTACAAGCACGAATCATCTCGAGTAGTACGAGTCGTTTGCTGTAAACTATGCTAGCAAAACGACCCGTCTCTCATAGCATGAATCGTCTCGTACTTTGAATACAAACACAAAGAATACTAATGTATGGAAAGCATTAAACAATCACAGAGAGTAAAATGCTTGAAGAGATGAACGAAACAATTATTAAAAACTTCTAAATCATCCACACATTCATTCAAACCAATTTACAACTAAAGCTCATGAAAAATTTCATTACATGGCTAGGGTTTCATCAAAACTCTAGAAAAGACGACTAGCCACTCATGGAGGAGTGGAAAGGGGAAGAAGATGAGAAAGAAACCCCCATGGAAGTGTCCTTCAAGCTTTGGTAGAATATCACCTCTTTGGAACCCTAGCATCCCTCTATTCTGAAGTAATTTTTCGAACCCTAGGTTTTGCTAATTTTTTGTCTTTTATTCGCAGCAAAACAGATCAAAAATTTCGTGCACGCGTCCCTAGGTGGGCCTCTCGTGCGCCCATGAGGGCCGCTCGAGCGGTGGTGGGCTGCACGTGCTGTAGTCTGGCTGGCTCGGATTTTTCACTTCTTGCATAAAGAATCTGCTTTCACGCCCTTTTTTATTGAAGTTTCACATTTCCTGCCAAATTTGTACAAGTGCACGAAACACATCATCTCCACCAAATAAATAAAATTGAAAGACTAAAATTGTAACTTAAGTGGCCTCAATGTGGTATCTTTCGGCCAACATCAGGGGCGTTGGTGAGCAAAGTAGCTCGGTTATGCTTTTCTTTTGATTGAATATTTTTGCCGAGCTAACATTCTTTCATTATGTGTAGATTACAAACACTTGGCTGATAACTACTCCCGCGCCAATCAACAAGCTATCAGAACCGCACTGCGACATCCAGAACGAAGTGTCATAAGTTGCTCGAGTACAAACTGAGCTACTGATACAGCGCGCCGCGTAAAAGTAGGGTCCCCTACAGCCTTTGTTAATCAACCTATTTGCTTTTATAGAGGAAATTAAGTATGGGGGAGTTACGACACCAACTCCATTAAATTTAAATTTAGGCAATTCAGGTAGGCGAAACACTACTTGTTTCGTTACGCAGTCAATGGTGGCATGATATTTTGTTAACCAGTCCATTTCTAGAATTACATCAAAATACCCCATATGTAGAGGCAATAAATCAACATATAAAGTCATATCCCCAACAACAATTTCACACGCAGGGTACATATAAGCACAAGTCATAGATCCCCCAGTTGGTAAAGACACAGTTAACAAGTAATGCATTGGTTCCATAGGTCTCATTAATTTAGGAGCAAAAGCATATGATACAAAAGAATGCGTAGATCCCGAGTCAATTAAAACATAAGCTTTCTGGGAACACATAGGAAGGATACTTGGCACAACTGTCTCTATATTCTGCACATCCCTTGGTACAAGCACAAATACTCGTCCTTGCCTCAAAGTTTTCTTCCCTATAGCAGCTTTCAGATTAGACTTCGGCGTTGAGGCTGATGCGACAGAACTTGCCATGGGTCTATGTGTGCCTTGGGATGCCAAAGGACAATCCTTAATCATGTGGCCTATTTTTTCACACCGAAAACATGCACCAGAAATTCTATGGCAAACTCCCTTATGTCTTTTTCCATATTTTGAGCAAACGGGTGTATCATTCCCTTGGCTAGAGCTATTTGATGATCCCGTATTTTGTCTCTTGTTCTGTGAGTTGTTTGAGTTGTTCCGGCCCTTCTTAAAGTTGGATCCTTGTCTCTTACCCTTCAATTCGATCACCGGTGTCTCTGCTTGTATGAGGGCAACAATATTCACCTCAACCATGAGGGCTCTATCCAGGACATCAACATATTTTAACAACTTTAGGGGTTGTTTGGGATGGTCTAAATAAGTGTATTTTTGACTTTTTATGAAATATGGGTTAGGTTTGGGTTGGGTTTGAAGTGATGTGTTAGAGAAGTGATGTGACTTAAATAAGATGATGTGACTTAAATAAGATAGTGACTTTTTGACTTTTTGGATTTTTTAGGAGTTGCCAAACTTAGCCTTAGTACATTGATCTGGTCAAGAACCTCAACATCAAGTCCGCCTTCAAATTTCCTAGCTTTCTTGTAATCGATATCTACCATAAGTAGTGCATACCATGCAATCTCGGTGAATTTGGCTTCATACTCCGCTACCGACATAGTACCCTGCTTTAATTGCTCAAATTCTGTTACTTTGCAATCTTTTACACACTGTGGGAAATATTTTTCATAGAATGCCTCTTTGAACTGTGCCTAAGTCATGATAGTATTCTAATCATAGATTAGCATCCACCACCTTCTAGCTTTTTCTTGCAAGGTAAAAGTTGCCAACAAAACCTTTTGCTCTTCAGAACATGGAAAAACTTCAAACAGCTTTTCAATTTCTAAGATCCATGCTTCGGCCTTTAGTGGTTCAAGGCCCTCTGAAAATGTAGGTGGTTTCATTTTGTTAAACTTCTGCGTCAAGGCGATAATATCACCATCAGTAGGTGGCTCAACAAGAATTGGTGGTGGAAGAGGAGATGGGAATGGCTGTCTCTGTTATTGTCTCAAAATTTCTATCAGTAATTCCACCATTCACTCTAACCGGTCCATTCTCGCATTAGAAGACTCAGATGCATTTTTAGGTCTTGCGTTCTCTATTGGTCTATAAGTAAACAGAATGATAATAAACATAGGATGCATAGGTTTCACATTTCCATTGTCATCACATAGACACATAAGGAGTCCACACACGCACACATGCAAGTAAATTGCCCTAACTTCTTTCCTAGGACATCCTATAGCTTATTTGGACGTGTGTGTGTGATATAACTAGTGCTCTGATACCAATCTGTCACGACCCAAACTCGCCCTTATAGGTTTAGTGTCGTAACCGGCTAGTAATCCGTGATTACCAAAGGCCTACATAACCGTAATACAGTAACGGGGCTGGCAGAAGCCAATAACTCAGAAAATAAAACGTCCAATGAGCTGTGAAGACTTAAATGAGACAAAATGAATTTTCATAGAGACATATCTATATACACAGTGACTGATAAGAACTAATCTCAAAAGAGTGACTCCCGGACCACCCAAGAGCCGTGACACATGACTGATAAGAACCTCATGACGAGGCACAAAAGCTGGCTTAACAAAACTAAGGCTGGGTCGACGCCACTACGTCCCCTCCTGCACTTGATCACCTATATACATATATAAAAGAATGAGCTAAAGCCCAGTGACTAACAATAGTATAAAGAGGTTATGAATGAAGTCCTTACAGTAATCCAAATCAGCTACTTATAGCATTAGATAGAAAATTAGATTCATTTGCATAGCAAATCCATATTTCATACAGAAAACGTAGCAGTTATACGTGGTACGTCCAATAGCAGGACAGTGCAGACGGTCATGAAGATCGAACAGTCATATATGATGGCCATCAATACAGTAAACAGAAGTTCCAAGAATTGGAATTGACAGAGATCTCTGTAACCGAAATAGTAACAGATGCTAAGGATGCCACGAATACAGTTTATAAAACAGGACAATCATTCAATCAGTCAGAAAATAACATTTTAGAAACAGAGTATTTTGTAAGTCATAAAATACTTATAATTCAAACATATCTTTACAAGGTTGTTACTCACTGTTGGCTCTTTAGAACACGTGGGTAGGACGCGGCATTTGACCTACACAAATAGATTTAAACACAATGGTTTAACACACAATCCTCTCATGCAAACACTACCTAACCTAACCGTTATTTATTCTCTAACCCATTCACAATCATTCTTTCATTTTCTCTTGTGTTCGTGCAATGCAAATGCATACGAAAACAGTTGAAAACCATGCAATTGGAGGCCCGAAAAGCAAAGAAAACAGAAAGGAAATAAACCTAAGCTGGCCGTACTGGCCACACGTGTGGCAGCCCTGGTTGCTCGTGCGGTGGCCTTGGCCGCTCTAGTGAGCAGAATGAAAAAGTGAACAGAGGAAGGCCGGCCGCTCGTGCCGTGCCCCCTGCCGCTCGTGCGGTCCACCAGCAAAAGAAAAAGTGGAGCAGAAAAAGGCTTGGCCGCTCGTGTGGTGGCCTAGGCCACTTGAGCGGTCTGGGTGAAAAACCAATTCGAAAATTTGCTTCAAAGTTGAAACTCCATTTTTGCAAACCCAACTTCAAATTCATGCAAATCAGAACCCAAAACTCACAAAAACATGTTGAATAATCAAGTTCTAACCTCCAGTTAAACCATGACTTCAAAACAAAACTCATTTGTCATACAACAAGATCAAACTCTAGAATTTAGGGCCAAAAATCAACAACTATGCAAATGTTAACTTCCAAACTCAAAAATCCATGGAGTTTCATCCTCCATCCTCAAGAATCATGCAAGAAATGAGTGATTGATCATGTAGGGTGCCATGTATAACAAGATTTTGAGCCATATCCTACAAGGTCTCCTTTTAGGTTTTATAACTCAAACATACACCACCCAATCCCTAATTCAACTCAACTTCTACAATCTCATGGATAAATTTACTTAATCTTATGGGTTAGATAAGAATTCTTACCTTGATTGTGGAATTGATGAAGGTTTACTCTATAAGCCCCTTGATACTCCTCTTTTCTTCTTTCCTCTCTTGAGCTCTTTTTTTCCCTTTCTCTAGAACTCTCTCTCATGTCTCTATTCCTCTTATTTGTTGACTAGACCAACATTTTCCGTAATAAAATTTTAAGTTTCACTTAATTTAAATCAAATTCACCTAATCAAGGCAATCTTCATATAATCTAATTTAACTTAACCCAAACTTAATCTTCTTAAAGTGAATTAGGCTCTAACCACCTAGTCCAACATCAAATTTTTAACCTTATAATTTAACGAATCAGACAGGTCTTTTTCACAAATTAACATATCTGTGAATCAAAACATACTTCAAATAATCCATGGCATATAATTAACACACATGCAAGCATATAAATCACATAAAAGCACATGATTAAGGTAACCTTCAGATTTAACAGTTAATAAAGGAGGTAGGTGTTACAAATGCTTTGTGCTAAAGAGTGATGCAACAGTCGCCTATGTAGTCGGCGCACCATGCGATCAATTGGGGTAAGGGCAGATATATGAATCTATTCGGCATCACATTTGCTGGTAGAGCAGGCAGCCGAATCGGCACATAGTGCCCTACTTGACCAATGCTTGGTGTCGATTCAAACGTGGTACCGAAGCAAAGGAGTGATGCAGGCCGAATAGGGCGATCCATGTATGCCACTTAGCATCATTAAACATGTTCCATTGAATAAAAATTAAGAAGAGTGTTGAGGTGTGCAGCAAGCTATGTATTCATTAATAAACCAACAAACTATTTTCATTAAAAAACTGAATCCATTACATCTATTTCACTTTACATATGAAAACGGCCCCATTACATCAAAAAGAACAAAAACATAACGAAAATGGTTACATCAAAAAGAACAAAAATATAACGAAAATGATTACATTATCCTACTTCAAAAGTCCTCAGGATCCGATTTCAGAGGGTCTACTTCTTCTTGCTCATACGGAATTGGCGTATTGAGCGTAGCTTTTGCAGCTGCCAAGGCTTTAAGCCAGCCATGCTTGAAACCTCTGTTGTTAGAATCGTACGATTCGCGATTCGAATCGTACGATTCGGTTCGATACACATAGAAATCAATTCGAACAGGTAGATGGAATCGCAAATGGCACAGAATTGCATCTGAATCGATCGATTCACGATACGAATTGAAGAATCGCTGAATCGCACGATTCCTTACAGTCGCGGGTCGACCCAGTTTTCTTGGACCCGAATAAAAAAAATTCAATTTTTGGCCCAATTTTTTTGCTTTTTCTTGGCAGAAGATGGGTCGCCTAGTCTTCTAAGACCAAACGACAGTCCAACCAAGGTAACCCATGGTCTCTTTTTACTCCCAACAAACAAAACCCTAGAAATACTCACCTCTTTGTTCGATGCAGAGCTTCGTGGTCCTTCTTCTCACTGTTTGGTGGCCCCTTGCTGCTGGAATCTGCTTCGTGGCCCTTCGTATAGTCTTCAAAACTTTATTAAAGTTTGTCCTCTTTTGGGTCTTCAATTTTGTTTGAGCTGTTACTAGATAAACTTCATATAGGTAATATAAAATGCTATATTGACTTTATACTCTTTCTTTTCCATTACTTTATTGTCTATTATGGACTGTAGAAGTATCCATTACTTATTGTCTATTGTGGACTGTAGAAGCATTGAAGTTGCTGCTGTGTGGGTGGGACATTAAAAAAATATTTTGCTTTTTTTAATGGATAAAAAAAATGAAAAGCAAAAAAAAAAGTAGGAAACAAGATCCGACATGGGACCATTGTAGCCGTGTCAAAGATAACAATAGAATGCATTTGAGATATAATTATTGTGGAAAAGATTATTGGGGTGGAGTGATTCGAATGAAAAATCATTTAACCGGAACTCATGATAATGTTGGTGCTTGTAGTCAAGTTTCTGAAGATGTTATGAATATGTTTTTACAACTGTTAAGTGGAAAAAAACAAGACAATATTATAGATGTTGATTGTTTTGAAGAAAAAATGTTGAGGGGAAAAGTAAAGGGGAAACTATGGATGCATATGTCACAAAGGGGAGGGCAAAGCAACAAAGCCTAAATCAAATGGTGAAGCAAAGGGAGCCCGTGATTAGAGATATTTGAAGAGTCATTTATGGGCATGCATTGGCTTTTAATTTAGTGAAAAGCCCCTTGTTTAAAAAGATGTTGAAGTCGGTTGGTGAGTATGGTGTGGGATTGAAACCACCTAGTTATCATGAAGTGAGAGTATCTTTTTTGAAAAAAAAGGTTGATCATGTGAATGCAAGTTTAGAAGTGTATAGAAAAGAATGGAAGAAGACGGGTTGCACTATAATGTCCGATGGATGGACCGATGGAAAGTCTCATTCTCTTACTAATTTCCTTGTTAATAGTCCAAGTGGAACGGTGTTTATTAAATCAATAGACACCTCCAGTGCAATTAAAAATTCTATGAAATTATTTGAGATGCTTGATGACATTGTGAATGAAATTGGGGAAGAAAATGTGGTTCAAGTGGTAACCGATAGTGCATCGGTGTATGTAGGTGTCGGTAGATTATTGGAAGAGAAGAGGACTAAATTGTTTTGGTCCCCATGTGCAGCACATTGCCTTGACTTAATGTTTAGTGACATAGGTGAGTTGACCGTTTTCAAAGATACAATAATTAAAGCCGAGGAAATCGCTATGTACATTTATAGGCATGCTTGGGTGCTTGATTTGTTCAGAAAATTTGCAAAGAATAGGGAGTTGACAAGACCCGCGGTTACTAGATTTGCCACTGCCTTCCTTACTTTAAAAAGTTTCCAAGATAGAAAGCTCCAACTTAGAGCTATGTTTGCATCGGAAGAGTGGGCTAGAAGTAGCTATTCTACATCTGTTAATGCAAAAAAGGCACAAGGAACAATCTTGGGAGACACTAGATTTTGGAAAGCAATCAAGTATTGCTTGAAGTGTGTGCTCCCTTTGGTGAAAATTTTGAGGCTTGTGGATGGTGATGAAAAGCCGGCAATGGGATTTATTTATGAAGCTATGGATAGAGCGAAGGTAGAAATTGCTTCAAACTTGAACCATGTGAGGGATAGATACAAGCGCATTTGGGAAATTATTGATACTAAATGGGATTCACAACTCCATAGGCCTTTTCATGCAGCGCCATATTACCTTAATCCGATGTAAGTTTTTTACTATTTTTGTCTAATTATTTGTGTTGTGATTTATTTATGAAGTTATCTTTCTTTCTATGTTTCATTATCAAGAAAACTTCACTGTGGATACGGAGGTGAAAATTGGTTTATTTAAAACCATTGAGAGGATGTATCTGGATATAGAGGATAGAGCGAAGGTTGATAAGCAATTAGAAAAGTTCAAGAAGGCCGAGGGTATGTTTGGTATGAGCATGGCCATCTTGACAAGGGAAAAGAAACAACTCGGTAAAATTTTTGATTATGAAATTGTATATTCACAATTTCACAACAATTATGTTGGCAATGGCATGCATTATTCTCTAACATCTCTTTATCATTTAATTACAGCTCTATGGTGGGAAAGTTACGGAGAAGAGTACAAAGAGCTTCAAAAGCTAGCTATTAGAGTGCTAAGTCTTACTTGTAGTGCCACCAGGTGTGAGAGAAATTGGAGCACTTTTGATCATGTGCACTCGAAGAAAAGAAACCGGTTGGAGCAACAACGGTTGAATGCTTTAGTTTTTGTGAAGTATAACATTCAACTTGAGTTGAGGCAAATTAAGAGACAAGAAAGGGGTGAGACTTATGATCCTATTTATTTATTGGATATGAAGTCCGATGATGAATGGATTACCGAGAAAGAGGATCCATGTCTACCCGAAGATCATTCATGGATGGACATCCAAGAGTGCTTCGAAGATGATGAAGGAACAACAAGTAGCAAAAAGAGAAAAAGAGGTATAATTTTATATTTTAATTTTTAAATAAGTTAATTTCAAAGATTTAGTTTCTATATTTTCACATTTACTTGCTCATTTATAACCTTATTTAATTTTATTAACGCAGGACCAAGAAATTTAAATGCCACCGATAGAGGAAAAAGAAAAGTATTTAAAGATGATGATGAAGTTGAATTGATTGAAGGTGGAGAAGAGGAAGAGGAAGAAGAGTTTAATGAAGTGACTATGGTAGATGATGATGAAGATGATATTGACCTTGGAGATGATGAAGATTGAAATGAAGAAATGAAGGCTTTTTGGAATTTTTAACTTTGTCTAATCTAACTTCTGTTTTGTATGATCTCTTTTTGACAGAAGTTACTTTACAAGTATAGATTAGAGTTTTGAAAAGTTTAGAACTTGTTAAGTTGTGAACCTTATTCATGATCATACATTCATAGAATCATATTATAATGAATGTGGATTGCCATACATACATGTTGTGATGTGAATTTACATAAATTATATCATAAATACATAAATATAATATAGGATGATAGATCACGGTGGGGCTCGGACCCACATCTCTTGCCATAAAAGCGTTTTACCTATCTAGACCACGTGATCATCATGTAAAGTAACATTTTTATTACTTTAAATCTAAATATTTCATATTTATAATATTTAAGTGTATAAATATGTTTTTTTATGTAATTTAGAAAACATAACTGAATCTTTACAATTTGCGATTCGATTCGATTCGCGATTTGGTACATGGCCATTTCTATTCACGATTCGAATCCCGATTTGACAACTATGCTGGAAACCCCTATTTTCGAACTTCAGCGCTTTATCGGCATAAAGTTCCTTGGCAGCCAACTCCCCGACATCGAACACTTTGGCAGCCGCTGATTTCGCTTCTTCAGCGGCTGAATAAGCTTGTTGGAGTTCAGCTTTCAGCTTCTCCAAGTCCGCTTGCGCCATCTTTAGAGCAACGTCCACAAGATTCGTCTACTCCTTCGCAGCATAGCGCAACACAACATATAACATGCATGATCTCATTGAATTCAAAGCTTCTAATACAAAACCAAATGAGTCTATTTCTTCAAAAACATGATACGTCAGCCTTCTGACTGGCGACCGCTAGATCGACCATAGACAATTTAGCTTTGCTTTGTTCGGCTGCCACCTTAGCCCTCAATGCACTGATCAATTCCAAGGCATCGAGTTAGCGACGTCCGATTTCGGCAATACGCTTGATGGCCTAATGCAGAACCAAAAACACATAAATAACGAGAACTATCAAACTAAAAGATGAAAATAGATTATAACACTTACCAAAATAGGCGATTGTGCGGCCAAAGCAATAGAAACCACATCTAGTTCAGCGTGAAACACAGTGTCACGACCCAAACCCGCCCCTATGGGTTTAGTACCATAACCGGCCAGTAATCCAAGATTACCGAAGGTCTGCTTAACAGTAATACAGAGTACAAGGGCTGGCGGAAGCCAAAACAGTAATTAAAAGATGTCCAATGAGCTGTAACAGTCTGTATGCAAAAAGACTTTTTCATAACATATTTATATTCAGAACCAAAACAGTATATACATGCATCATTTACAGACATTCAGGTTAGGGACCAAACCTCTACTATAACAGTACAGAGCAGGTCTATACAGTATTACAAAATAGAGACAGAAGGGTGAACTGAGACACCCCAAAAAGCCTAAGCTTGATCACACTTGGTACCTCACAGTGAGGCACGTTGGTTGGTTTTGACAAAACGGTGTTTAGCCCGACGCTTCCTAGCAATGGTCCGGTGCCTGAACACCTACATATATATATATGAGCAGTGAGCTAAAGCCCAGTGAATAACATATGCGTAAAGAGATTAAGAATGAATGTTCTTTTAGTATTGAAAACAGTCATTTATCAATATATCAGTCATTCAGTTTGTGGCTCATATTTCATGCCATAACAGTCATTCAGAATCTATAATAGTCATATGTGGTACATCTAATAGTAAGACAGTACAGTAGGTCTTAACAGACCGAACAGTCAGTTGATGGCCATCATATCAGTAAATAGTAGTGGTTCCAAACATGGGAACCGACAGAGATCTCTGTGACAGTAGCAGTACAGTACAGTAACAGTAAATTGCTATGGATGCCACGAATACAGTTCACAAATAGGACAAACATTCATTCAGTAAGAAATATCATTTCAAAAAGTAGTACAGTTGTTCATTCAGAAAAATTCATGATTGAACATATCTTTACAACATTGTTACTCACAGAGCACTGGGCCATAAGCAGCTAGAGTGTCCTCGGATGCCAACCCTACACAGTTACAGAATGAACACACACTAAGCTACACAGTTGGGAAATAATAACTTAATCCCTAATCTTGACTCGGTGTGGTTCTACATCAATATTCTCCTTAAGATGCCTTAAACATGCCCTAAGAATGCCTAGGATGGAGAGATGATGCAAAGATGCACTTTTAAACACTCTTCAAATTTTTACTGAAATAGGGTCCAACTCGAGTGTGGGTTTCCCCGCTCGAGCGGACATGCAGACAAAAGAGCCCCGCTCGAGCATGACTTACTCCACTTGAGCAGACTGCAAAAGTACTGGATGGGTGAAATTCACGCTCGATGGGCGTTCGACCTCCGCTCGAGCGTGAGACACAAGTCCTCGCTCGAGCGTGCATTCCCCCGCTCGAGCGGACTGTAAACACATGCAAAATACTGGATACACGCATTTCCCGCTCGAGCGTCACTTTTCCCGCTCGAGCGGACTGCATGAACTCAGTATGTACGCTCGCGCGTGGAGTTCCCCACTCGAGCGTGAGTCCAAAATCTGGAATTTCCAAATTTGAACCTCAAGCTCAAAACTCAATTTTAAAGCATCAAATTCGATCCTTTTGGGCTAATTTTCTGGAAAACACTTTAAAACTTATAATATGACATGTTTCAAAGATCAATTTGATAAATCAAAGCCCAAAAATAATTCAATTAAACACAATTTCTAGGGAAACTTCAAGAACATGATGAACATATAACATGCATGATCTCATTGAATTCAAAGCTTCTAATACAAAACCAAATGAGTCTATTTCTTCAAAAACATGATGAATTCATGGACTTCAACCAAAATGTAAACATGCATGCAAGAATTTCCATGAAAACAACTTAAAACTTCAAGATATGCACATGCATGCATGATTTAAGCTTCAATTCAACAATCTAAACCAAAACTTGACTTCAATCTCTAAACTTCCATGAACCATGCAACATAAGACTAGAATTCATAAACAAGAAGGTAATTATCCTATCTTAGGTCTTGAATTTCAAGTCTAGAAGCTCAAATATGCAATCCTCTCTTTAAATCTTCTAATTCTCCAAGCAATTCTTTTTGAACTCAAACTATCTCCTATCTCTCTCTCTCTCTAGTCGGTTAGGCTCAAGAATGGGCTGATGAAAGGATATAAAAGGGTAAATAAGTCTAACTTGTGTAATTTAGCTTTATTTAATTTAATTCAATCATACCAAATCACATTTCAATTAAACATGCCATAAAATCACATAAATTCTAATTAGCACATATCGCTAATCAATTCCGGATTCGGCCGTCGATAAGGCCTTCAATTTGCAGTTTAAAACATAATACATGAACAAATCATTTAACAGTCAAATAGATAGAAATGCATTTAAACTAGCACATTCAATCAATCAGTTCAGAACATTCAGTCAATCAGTCATTTAACATGCTTAATCATAGATTAGCACTAATCAGTGGTGAGGGTTGTTACACACAGTCTTATCAACAGGAAGGGCTATGGTCGCGACTACACCCAAGGCTACCGCATGATCCTTCATTGGGGAGGTGCCGGTTGCGATTGGTGATCCTTTGACTTTTGGCTGGATCAGAAACGGTGCCCGCAAGGTCAAGAGGGGAAGAAATCCTTGGCCTCTTTTCAACAAGCGATTGTTCGGTTGTCTCGGTTGATTCAGCAACACGCTTCTCCTCCCTCTGTTCAGTCACTGACTCCTTCATTATAGGTTCAATATCGTCTCGCACCGACTCCTCCACTGGTTCAGCTTGAACGACTTCAGTTGCCGGTGGAGGAACTTCTTTGGCGCTTGCCGCCTTCCCCCATGCTGCTATTTTTTCGGCGTTACGTCTTCTAGAAAATTGACTGAGGGATTCACCCGCCATGTCTTCTGAGCCGACTCTAGGTAAATCATCCAAGTCTAGAAAAATGTCTTCTTCTCAGGGACTTTCGATCTCTATTTGCTCACTGGAGCCGGCTTCTTCGAAGTCAAACGGCAGTTCCCTAAGCCATTCGATTTGAGGAATGACCAACTCAACATTTTCGTCTCTACATTGTTTGGCGTCAATAACTTGGTCTACGCCACCGTGGTTGGCCCCTTCACTGTTAGCGGCCTGTTCACTAGCAGACAATTCCCCAACACCGATGTCTCTCAGATTAATGAAATTGGGGAATACAAGAGCCACAAGTTGCTTCTCACCTCTCGGAACGGGAATATGATCAGCCGCCGAAAAGGTAGAATAAGTTGGGTCGTACCGAAGTAATATGTGCGCGGCATGACCTTGGCCTTGTAGATTCGGCCAACTGACGAAATCTAGGACCATCTTGATCTGAGCAAGCACCAATTCGTCAGTAGAAGCGAGGGACTTTTTGAGGTTGTTGCTTACACCAGAAATAAACGATTAGCATACATAAAATGCCGAATTGAAATAAAGCTTGGTGGGGAGTAATCGGTGACCTGGTTTGCTCTTGCGCTTAGGCAGAGGAGTTTGGTGATTTTCTACTTTGCCAAACTCCCAATTACCATGAACGACCACCATCAAGTCATCCACTTTTTTGCCAGAGTTGGCAAGCATGGTGACCAAATGGTGATTGGTGTCTTTAGCCCTGAGGAAATATTGCCCTTGTTGACCATCAATGGACGGCCCAGATCAGCGAGAGGGGGGGGGGGGCGCTGGTAATATTAATACAGCTCCCCCCCAGTCACACCAGTCACACCATTCACACTAGGTTTTTTAACTAATAGGGAGGCCTTGTACGGCGGGTGTGAGTTCACTATTTACCACTACAAAATGCCTCGCCAAGCCTCTTTTCGTTTTTATGCCAAGAATGAACGTAACAACGCCGAATGGCTGGAACCTCTAAGTTAAGACGGAGGTGGCGGTTTAATTCTATCACGCCCATCACGATTCGGTAGAAGTTGACATTTGGTTGGGACGGAATCAAACCCTAATGACTTAATACAAACCTAAGAGTGGGATGAAAGGGAAAATGGACACCCCCTTCGGCGATCGCCAGGAGAGGGAACACAATGGTGTTCTCATCAGTCCTCTCCATGTCCACTTCACCATCCCTAACTAAGGACAGTTGAACGTCGTTGGGGATAGAAAAGTGATGATGAAAAGATACGACTCTATCTTCAGAAAGAAGAGCCTTTAAGTGATTCACCATGGGAGGACCGGAGTGAAAAGTAACAAGACAAAGAAGTGCAAGGGATTGAAATATAAAAATAAAAGAGAGAATGGAGCTCAGAGAACTTACGGACGGAAATGAAAAGGTCGCAAGCAGGAAGAAGAGCAGAAGGGTGACGATAGAAGTCCTGAGGTTAGAAGATCATGAGTGTTGAACAATAATAAGATCCCGTGCAAAATGAAAAGGTGAAAATATTTCAAAATGCATCGGCGGGAAGCCACAATCATTGTCTATCACATCTTTTCTGGCACGACAGTATTGAAAAAGCATGTCCGCCGCATTCCAAACTACTACTCGGGGAGCAATTGTGGGAGCCAAATTCAAATAGCCCAATACTATCAGGCCCAAATTGCAAGTCGGCCCGTTGGGCCTCGTCCATCGGGCTCATTTGGCTGAGTTACATATATCTTAATTCTGGTTGCAGAGGCCGAATAGTCTATTATAAGTCAGCATCAAGGCTAGTTGCCAATTCCTCTTCATAAAGCGTGGAGAGATCCAGATGAGGTGCGTAATAGGGGATAAAACCTAAAAAGAGAAGTTCTATAGAAGGAGAAGGAAGTCTCGATGATCAGGTATGTTCAAAAAAGCTCATTTAAGAAAAATAGTAATCAATATATCAGAGAGAGAAAAACTAATTAGACCGTCGAAGTGCTAATTCCTGCACCCCCGACCGGAGTTGTTATTGTTTCAGGTGACTATCGAAGGACTATTCCAGGATCTGCTTGGATAAAGGAGTATTTCAAATCCATCACTGCACATTTATATTTCATTCACATTTTTTTCATATTTTCTTTTTCTTATTCAAATTTATGTTCCAAACACAACCCAAAAAATATATCTCAAATGAACAAAGTCTTTTAACAGGTAGATAATCTCTTGCTGAAGAATTTCTTCATGAGAGAGGGCATTGGAAGTTATGGAACTGATTAATGTTGGATTTTGAGGCATAGTGTGAATATTATCTGTAGACACTAAACTTTTCACGTCTTGATCACCTTTTTTGATTAATCAAGACAAATAAACTTTTCTTAATTAGTCAAAATTAAGATAGTCACAGATGTGGGTCGTACTAAAATTACGAGACACAATCCATTTTGAAATGTGGATCATACCAAAAGAAAAATATAAACCCTTTTAGACAAATCAATTCAAGCCAAAGGTGTGGGGCCCGCAAAGATATATTGTCAGAATTTCGTAAAATAATTCAAATTCGAATTTCAATACAAATCATTTTCATAAAGAGACAAATTTCTCTATTCTTGAAAATTAAAATCAAATTTTGGAGTTTCAAAATTTACTACTGTTTTCTATGCCTATAAATAGCAGCTCTCACTATTGAGAAAAGGGACCTTTGGTTAAGATCCTATGATACCTCTCAAGCATTCTCAAGGTTCTGCCAAAAATATTTCTCAAAAATCTCTCCAAAGTTTTTCAAACTCTAGCCGAGGATTATCAAGCACTCCAAAACTTGTGTCAATCTTTCTAGGTTCTCTTTCATCAAATAAACCCTTACGTGTCTAAGCATAAAGAAATTGCAAGTTTGATTTCTTCTTTCGAGATCATTTATAAAGATTGTTCGAGATCGAGTCATTCAAGCGCTCGACCAATCATCTTTTCCTCGAGCTTCTTTGTTTGAAGACTTGAAGAAATCCATCAATGCATTTGATTCAACAAGAAGCTTCTATTGCCATTAGATTGCAACCACTCTGGAGATCGAATAAGAGGATCTGTTCTTTTGTAGTAACACAAGCCATAGAGAATTGTACCTAATTTATTATAATTAATAAAATCAAATATTTGTACAATTCTCTAACAGATCCAATGGCTTGCTCTATTACAATTCTATGTGGCTTGCTCTATTACAATTCTCTATGGTTGCAATCCAACGGTTTTGGGATTTATTTTGATGTAGATTTTGCATTTTACAAAATACATCTGTGAGAATATTTGTGGTTCATAACTGTTTTTTTGGCAACATCATAATTTGTTGTTTGTAGTTCTTGTTAGATTGTTTGCCCCTTTAAGGTCTTGTTGTTTTTATTTTATTGTTCCATATGTTGTTTATTTTTATTTTATTATGACTGTTTTATAACTTTTCTGAAAAAAAAAAAAAACTCTGTTCAGTCTCTTTGTTTCTGCATACAACACACAAATTCTACCAAAGACAGGTTGATAGAATGGAAGGTGGTTGATAATCTGTCATGTGTTTTGCGCAGTAATGGTAGGGAATTACATGGCCATACATTTTTTGAATGCTCTTTTTCAGCTGCTGTATGGAGACAAGTTCTGAGACATCAAAATATTAACAGGCTTCTTTACCTTTGCACGAAGAAATTGATTGGGCAATGCGACACAGAAAAGGTAATACTTTTTGTCAAGCTTTCCATAAGCTGCCTCAATTTGTCATCCATGAGGAGAGGAATGCAAGGATTTACACAAACAAACAACTTCTTCCTGCAAGAGTTTTTGCGAAGATCGGGGAAGATGTTCGATATAAAATAAGCTCCTGGAGGGCTGTGAAGAATTCTCTTGAACTGGAATATACCTAGATCTATTCTTAGCTGATAGGTGTTTTTTGGACTGGTCTGACCAGTTTTTTGTTGTATGTGTTTTTATTTGTTCAATAAAATTCACTTTACCCAAAAAAAATACACAAATTCCTCATCTGTAGAGCGAGAAAGTAGAGAGACATCATCTGTAGAGATAGGGGACGGAAGTCAGGGGCTGCTCGTGGAGGACGGGCGGCTCTCTGATCGTATTAGCAATTGTCTTCTTCGGTAAATACGTCTCTCTTTCTTTCTCTCTGCTTACAGATCTAGTTCATATTTCTACAAGAAGATAGATTTGGATAATTTGTGATTGTTGTTTAGTTGATTGGCAAATCTGACCCTGAATATCAGTGGTAGATTTATGTTAATCTCTTTCACAGCTCTTACATCAATTCGTCCATGAATTTATGGCTTTGCATAGTAATAGATCTGAAGAGAATTGACAATTTTCTCTCTCAATTTTTGCGATGTATCGTTATAGACATGTTTATCGGATTGATTTTTGGTAAACACTTGTTTCCGGCAGTTAGAGCCGAACTTATATTTTGTTAACAATATGCTCTGTCATAGCAAACCTAGAGAATTTTTTCCATATTTGGTTATAAATTAGACATTTGTGTAATTTGAAAAGAATCAGCTTTTGTTAACAATATAATCTATGATAACAAACCTATAGGCTGTGTTTGTTTCAAGAATTTGGAGAGGGATTTGGAAAGAAAAAATGAAAAGGTGAGTGAAATGTGAATAATGGAAAAAGGTAGGTGAAATGTGAATAAAATATGTTTACATTTCAAATAGTTTTACACTTTTTTCCTTGATTTTCCAAATCTCTCTCCAAATTCCTCCACCAAACACAGCAATAGTGAGCATTTTTTAGGAATTTGTCCCTTTTTGGTTATAAATTAGACATTTTTGAAACTTGAAAAGAATCACTCAACTGTAATTTTGTTACCCATACTCCTGATGTTCATTACAAGTGTATGAAAATAAGCCCATTATTTATACCCTGTTTCCTAGTCGTGTCAGCCCATATTAGTTATATAATGAAATGGAAAATGCTTGAGAGCCCCATTTTTTAAAGATCTCCACAACCCCTTTAGATCTCTACCATTATGTATATATGGGATCCACTCATATATGTTTAGGGGCCACACCATCAATGATGGAGATTCAAAGAGGGTTGTGGGGATCTCTAAGAAATGGGAGTCTCAATCATTGTTGAAAAAAAGTTGCTTTCCTTTCTAAACTGTTTTAAATAGGGATATTGTATTTAAAGTTGACCTAGTTCTTAGGGATAATGAGATTATGTTATATAATTTGTCATTGAATAACTATATTTTGCATAACCGGTTGTTTGTCTGCAATTTCTATGGCCAAAGAGGAAGCCACTAAGTAGGGAACAGTCATTGGGATAAATTTTGGAATAACCAATTCTTGTGTTGGGGTTTACAAAAAAGAGTTTAGGGGTGCCCGCTATGCGGCCTTATGGGCTTATTTTGGAATTCATTTCGATAATTCGTACGTTTACATTTTAGAGTATATTAAGGTCAAGTTTGGGAAGACTAAATAAGTGTACTTTTTGTCTTTTTAGACTAAAAAGTTGAGGTTGAAAATATGAATGTTTGGGTTAACTTTTTGACTTTTTATGGAAAAATGTGTAATAAAAAATTGTAAAAATTGATTTGTAGGAGAAAATTAGAATTGAGAGTTGTGCAGCCGTAATTGTTGACTTTTGGTGAATAGTGATAACTTTTTAACTTTTTGAGTAACTTTTTGGCTTTTTGGTTTTTTGGGGTGTTCCCAAACTTGGCCTAAGTATAACATACTTGTAAAAAATTAAGTTAATCGGATAACATTAACCCTTTCATCTACTCACATTTGTATCTTCAAAAATAAATGACATTATGATTTAAAAGTATTAAAATGAATATAAATGTGAGTGGATGAAAGAGTTAACGATATCCGATTAACTTAATTTTTTACAGGTATATTCTACTCGATGTACTCTAAAAAGTGAAAGGTTTGAATTATTAAAACGGATCCCAAAACAAGCTCATAAAATCACATAACAATATTTATTGTGCTGATTGCAAAGCAGCCACCCCAACTCCTTACAAAAATGGTCATGTTGAGATCATAGCAAATGACCAAGGACACCGGATTACCCTATAATGGGTTGGTTTCACTGATTCCAAGAGAATGATTGGTGAGGCTGCAAAGAGTCAAGCGGCAGTTAATGCTGAAAGGACCATTTTTGATGTTAAAAGAGTTATAACAATGATAAATTTTTTTAAAATTAGAGTTTTAATTGAACTCTAGTTAAGTCAAAAAAAAAAAAAAAATCAGGCCATAATATCATATTAGATGGATTTCACATATACATTAAAACTCACAAATTAAAGCTCCAAAACATTTTTGAAAGACTTATAGGAAGAAAGTAATGCCAAGGGTTGGTTTGTGATATTCTAAAAAAGTACACTTTTTGATTTATTGGCTTATATGAGTTGGATTTAGGTTGGGTTTGATGTGATGTGTTAGAGGTGATGTGATTTAAATAAGATGATGTGACTTAAATAGGATAATGACTTTTTAACTTTTTGTATTATTTAGTAGATGCCAAACTAAGTAAATTGGGGGTAAATAATCTGTAACGGCTCTTACCTACTGATTGGCAAGTTTGAGGACAAGGAGGTACATGCTAGAAAAAATTAAACATGATTTACTATTAGAATAAAAATACCAAACTAATAATAAATTAAAAATAACAAATAAATATTATTATTAGAGATAAAGTTTAGAGAAGTATGAATGTGGTCGAGGCACGCAGATTGTGCTCTCCTTAGGAATGATATACCCAGTGGTGGAGGGAGGTAAGGCCCAGGGGAATCACGTGCTCTGCTTGGATTTTGGGATTTTTTTTTAAACATAAAGAAAATATTTTAAATTACAAAAATTACAAAAATATTATTAGAGTGAAATGTCAATGACATTTTAAAAATTATGAGAACAATAATGGTTGTTTTAATTGAAAATGAAGAGACTGCTATAAACCATATTATCTATGAAAATTTTTAAATATAACGATGATGTCATTATTATTGACATGCAAGTATAAGTAATCTCTCACTATAAAGATATGAAATTTATTGGATTGTTAGTTACATTTGACATGTGAGGTTCACTCTCTATGTGTTTATATACTATTAGTTGGTGATATCACATATCAATGATGACGTGGTATTACCATTATATTGAATTTTTAATCAAAATTTGTATAAATTTTTTTTTATCATTATATAATTTATTTTAAGACTTATATCCATTCTTTTTTTTTCTTTTCTTTTCTTTTTTTGTATTGTCTATGATACACTGGTTACAAATAACATTATTTTTATGATGTTTCTTAAAATCAATCGTAAAAACTTGCGTAAAATATTTTTGTAAATTTTTTTGATATTGTAATTAATAACTACCCCATCTAATTTAATTTTCTGGCTCCGTCACTGGATACATCCTCTTCTACACTGAGTTGAATGGTGTTTCTCCCCCAAGATACAACGACCTTCGAAATCACTTGTGTGCAGCAAAGTAAGTTCACGAACCTTAAATTTCCCAATACTTACTTGTAAACTCAATACAGTAAACTCATAAAGAAAATAACAAAAGAGAAGAAGAGGAGAAGAAAGACTTATTTTTTTTGTCTGTTTAATCAATCGTAAAAACTTGCGTAAAATATTTTTTTAAAAATTTTCGATATTGTAATTAATAAATGCCCCCTCTAATTTAATTTTCTGGCTTTGCCACTGGATACACCCTCTTCTACACCGAGTTAAATGGTGTTTCTCCCCCAAGATACAATGACCTTCGAAATCACTTATTGACCTGCAAAGTGAATTCACGAATCTTAAATTACCCAATACTTACTTGTAAATTCAATACAGTAAACTCATAAAGAAAATAACAGAGGAGAAGAACAGGAGAACAATAATTTTTTTGTCTATTTAGAAAACAACGTTGCAGTCTTATTATATACACAATTAAATAACCATAATTTAGATATTTCGGAGATATTGTAGGATAACTTAAAAAACTAGAAAACTAATATAACGTTATAAACTTATTCCTAAAAAGATGCAAATATCAAATAAAATAAATTAAATACAATTTTAAAATGACAAAATAACAGTCCAAAGGGATATGAAGCTTGTTCCTTACAAGATTGTGAATAAAGATGGAAAGCCTTATATCGAATTTAAGATTAAAGACGGAGAGGCCAAGGTATTTACCCCTGAGGGGGTCAGTGCTATGATTCTAATTAAGATGAAGGAGACTGTGAGGCATTCCTTGGGAAGAAAATCAATTAAGGATGCTGTTGTCACAGTTCCTGGTGAGTAGAACTCTTCTAAATTACTACTATTATTCTCCACTCTTCCAAGGATGCTGTGGTACTCCCTTTTACTTTTTATTGCAACCTGTAGCCTACTTTAATGATGCCCAAAGGCAAGCTACCAAGGATGCTGGTATTATTGCTGGGCTGAATGTTGCTAGAATTTTAAATGAACCAACTGCTGAATAAAGGTGGTGAGAAGAACATCCTTGTGTTTGACCTTGGTGGTGGCACTTTTGATGTCAGTATCTTGGCCTTCGATAATGGTGCTTTTGAGGTCCTTGCCACTAATGGTGACACTCATCTTGGAGGTAAGGAAAATTTTTGTTAGCAATATTCTGTCATCCTTTCTTTAACAGAACTATACATACCAGAATTCTCTGTGGAGAAATGAAAAGGATACAATATTAGTGGCTCCAACAACTACCATTCGTGAAGATCATATATACCATGTCATAAATAAAATGCTCAATTACAATATTATAGTGGCTTCAACAGCTACCATTTGTGAAGAGGACCATTTATTGCACATCATACTAGAGTAGTGAATTGATTTTAGCATTTTTCTTTTGCCATTAATTTGACATTAGTTGCGTGCTAAAAAAAAGTGAAACAAACCACAGAGCAATCTGTATTACGACAATCTTTAAAATATTTTGAGATCACAAAGGTCATTGAGTTGAGTTTCTCTCAAGTTTAAACTTGAGAGGATTTAACGGACCCATGAAGCCTACCATAGGTTTTGATTTGATGATTCGAATCTTTTATTTTGTAAGACTTTCAGTGTATCGTTCATGAAAAAACTAGATTGATCCAATAATCATAATATTTTCATTTATTGTATTTGTCTCTAAAAAAAATAGTCAATAAACATATTTTGAGACTATTCATTTTTCTTAAGACACAGAATAAAATGAAAATAATTTATATCATTCATGAAAAAAATTAAGTTTATTCGATAATCATAATATTCTCATTTATACTATTTGTCTTCCAAAACAGAGATAACAAACATATTTTGAGACTATTCATTTTTTTTTAAGACACAATAAAATGAAA